AAAAAAAAAAAAAAAAAAAAAAAAAAAAACAAACTCATGGAGACGTTACATAATGGCAGATAAAATTTCTGAGAATATATAAAATAAAATATAACACTTCAAGGAAAACATGTCTTACTTTAAGCTAATTTCTGACAACCAAAGTCGAATATGAGTTTATTCTCCTCTGCTAATTTTTATGGCAAAGTTTAAGAAATATGAAGAGCTTTACATTTTTTTATCACAAGTTTTGACATTCGACATCTACACATCTAATTGTACTACTAAATATCAAAGTTTAATTTCAACAGAATTTTAAATGCTGAGAAGTAACGTAGGGATAAAAATTCCCTTGTCTTTGGAGGTTCAGAATCCATCAAGGCAAAGAACGTGTACAATGAGAGTGACAGCACCTTCCCGACAAGGGTAAATAAGTGCAATCGCCGAGCACAGCTGCGGACACTGCACAGGTGAGCTCTGCCCTCCCTCCTCCCTGCTACTCCAAGCCCCCAACAAAGACTACACGCTGTTCATTTCTGATTCTTCTAAGATATTTTGGAATTGATACTGTTTTTGACTATATGCTGATTTTCTCCCCCCACCCCAATATCCAGTTGTATTTAGAATTCAGTCCACTTTTTCAAATGCCAAAAGCATGTTTTTTTTTTTAAAGAAAAGGTTATTTTTTCTATAAGACAGAGAAAAACTCAAAGCTCAGGGAAGCATTTTGCCTGAAAGAGAGAGCAAACTGAGAACCGATGAGATTATTCATCTTCTTGCTCTGACCAGTCACTTAGGTAGAAGATAAAAGGATGCAGAGAAGCAAGCGTGATCTAGAGCAGCCCGGCCACAGCCAGAGGAAAGCTGAGACAAGGCAGCCGCGAGCAGGAGGACCCACACACACCCGTCTGCGCAACAGAACACCTCTCCGCTGGGCACGCTGCAGGTTTCGCTCCTTCACAAGGTCTCCAAGTAGACAGTCAAGTTAAGTGACGTCCGTATTCGTAAACATGTTACCACACTTCACAGTCAAGGGGAAAAAGTCATCAGTGGCTGAACCAGGGCTCAACTGTGTGACCCGACAGAATACTGCACTACTTCTGCAATGCTACACTGGTTCCAGTAACAATTAATTCCCTTATACCAGGGGACTTCAGAGTTCATCAAAATGTAATTAAAGTATATATGAGTTTATTTTGGTGCAAAAACTATTTGAAAGCTATGATATAGCTTTTTTCCTAATATGCATTTTTCATGAACTTTCTGAAGACCTTCCTGTACATTTAAAAGTTACCTGTTTTTAGTGTGGCCTCACAGTTATAGCAGCCAGAACCCATATGGCCAATCCTCCCTATGGTGACTTGAAAAACATACCAGCTGCATGTGTATGCATGTCCAAAATCCTGGCCATGCTCCACTGCACGGAAGCTTTGTTTTTCAGGCAAGTACAAGTGCCCTCCAGCAAATGAAGGAGGGGGAAAGAAAAAGCAGTATTTGTCCTCTGTAAATAAATTAATGCAAAATTAAAATAGTAAAGCCACAAACAACCAGGAAAACACAAACTACTTACGCAAAAACTGGTCTAACAGCATTATTCATATTCCCAAATGTTGCCCGACCCAGCAGTTCTCTGAAACAGTTCTCAGCCAGAACAGCAGGATTCTCTTCTTTGTCAGCTGCAGAGGGAGAAGAAGGAGGGACTATGCGGCTGAAAAAGAAAGAGAACCCAAGAAAAACTAACGTGAGAATTCAAATATTCATTCCAACACTTAAACAGAATAGACTTGACTTCTCAGAAATGTTAAAATGCCATTTTGTCTTTATCCTCAAATAGCTTCAAAACTTAATCCTAACTCCAAGTATTAATACCACACCAAAGCTAATTGTATAATCATTCAAACAGGGAGAACGCATTGCAGCTGTGCAATTCATGTCTCACTAGTGGACCATCCTTCACGTGAGTGAGGAAGATACTCAGCGCTTGCTCTTTCCTTCCCAGACTGCCCTGTGCAACCTGGGCAGTTGCATGGGCACCTGCGACCAGGAATGCTGAGACAGGCTGAATGCAGTGTGAGGACGCTGGCAGGGCTACCTGGCACCCCCTCTGTCTCTCTCTCCTGGAAAAATTAAATGAGCTGATTTGTTGTTGTTTAATGTGGGGGGAGCATGTGTCTAGCATCTGGAAAAGTAGAATGAAGCATAGAATTCTAAGTGTAAATGGATAGTGTGGAGGAAAAGAGAAAATCAGCATATATCCAAAAACAACAATATATTCAAAAATCTCTAAGACAAAAGAATCAGAAATCAAGAGTCTAATATTTTTGTTGAAAAAATAAGGTATGCTGAGTAGCAAATATAATTATTACTTTACTTAGTTCTAGCTCCTTATAAAAAAGCATCTTAGGGGCCCACAGATGGCATGGTAGTTAAAAGGCACTGAATTCCCATATGGCAGACTAGGATTCAAGTACTGAACCTGGCAGCTTGCTTTCTCACTTTTTCTCTCTTTTTCTCTCTCTCCCCCTCTCTGGTCAAACTGAAATTTAAAAATGTACAAATAAAGTTAAATAATTCTTTTAAAAAAAAAGCATCTTGGAACACTAACAGTTCAGATATAAACTCTAATTCTTGTGCTTGTGATTTAAGTAGTATTAATTAAAACTGCAATTTGCATCCTCGATAATAAGCAGCAAGATAAATATAAATTTATTCTCAAAGAAAATAAGGGTTTATGTATAAAAATAAGAATCCAAGCCTAATATGACCATAAAAGATACAGAAAGATACATATTTTTTAAGTTACTAAAGATTACTATTTACATAATACACAAGACAAAACTTTTGTTTCCAGGCAAACTCATATACAAACATATATACATAACATAGCTCCAATCCTAATGTCTTTCTTCCATACCTGTCAACTTCTTCTATCTTTTGCATGTTAAACAGGAGGGATGGGACAATCTTATCCATGTGCTGAGGTTCCCAAATGGTAGCCCGAAGTTCATCGTTAACTGTTTTGCGAACTACACCTTGAATACCTCTGATTCCAGCAATTCGGATTCTATTAAAAAAAAAAAAAAAAGTAATGACATAAAGATATTTAAACAAGTCTATTTGCCAATCTAAGAGAAAAGATGTCAGGTTAATAACTGTATCTTAACAATAAAGTATCTCAAGATAGCACACACAAACCTAAGAAATTAAAATTATGAAAATCTAAGATGGACATAGAGGCTTACTTTGAATATCATCAGCAATCAAAGTTTTAAAAGGACTATAAAATATAAAACTAGTAAATGTATGACTTTTCAGTTTAAAAAGTTAAAAACACAGGTCTTCCTTAGATGATAACCCAAATGAAAAAGAACTAGATGGTCTTCATTTGTTGCCTAGACATTCAGAAACTGGGTGGGAGCAGGATGCCACTGTTCCTGAATGCTCTTCAAATTCTTCACTTTTCTTACTGTCCTAATGTGCCCTCGCCTCCTTAGCCCATCTAAATGGAAGACAAAGCAGGTTCTTGTAAAGACAAAAGGAGGAACTATCAAAATGGAGTACAGACAATTCCAGTCATATAGGAGGGAGCATCTAAGAAGTCTGTGAGAAAACAACATTGAAGTATGAATTTATTTTGGTGCAAAAAAACCCCAAAAAAACAAAAAAAAACAAAAAAAACCCTGAACCTTACGGCAGATTTCAAAATACCCATTTTCTATATGCATTTTCTTAAGACCTTCAATATACATATAATAAGTATCTATGGACACACATTATTCTATGTACACATGATTTATCATAGCCCTCAACCTCTAGCTCTTCGTCGACTCAGAAACACCTTAGAAGAGCTGCAAACGCATCAAGTCTCAGGCAGAGCTAACTTGGTGGTCCATGTGTCTGAAAACATCTTTCTGGTCAAATATGATTGTTGCTTATTTCCTTTATTTCCACCATGTGAAACACTCACCAATGAGAGGTTTATTCAACTTACGTAGCATTGTCTTCCTCCAAAAAAAGTAAATAGGTTTAAAGAATGAAAGATAGGGGGAAGGGAGTGATACTGCTTTGGAAACTCGTAAGAAAATAGGGCAGACATTAAGGAGAAACAGATGGAGAGTGGGAGGTGACAGTAATGTGACACCAAACAGGTGAGAAAAGTGAATTAGAAGACATGAAGACACATTCTGCCTACTTCAAAGCTGTTTTCTAAAACACAATGCCTTTCTAAAACGTGAAGAAGTCTTGAGAAACTCTTGTGCAGCGGTGTGGGCAAGCCTCACACCAATGCGAATGGTGCCTATTTCACATACCAGCTGCTACTCCTTGCTGATGAGAAGGCTAAGCTAAAGGTGGCACAGAACACATGGAGCAACAAGATGACAGTAAGAGGACAGCTCCTGCCTTGTGATGCAGTGGCCTAACCTGAGTAGCAGCAGATGGTGATGCCCTTGTTGGGAGCAGGGAGGAAAGAAGGATGTCAACTGTAAGAACAAATAGCTATGAAAGGTACACAGCTGGAATCCAATCCAGATCTACCACCTGGCCTAGCCAGCACTTCCAGCCATGACTCCCAAAGGAATTTTAGCTTTCTCACCAGTAAAATAGGACAACTGCTGACCTACCTACTGCATGAGAATAGTGTAAGGATTTAATGAGTTAATTCACGTTAACTTAACAATAATCGCTAAGCACTCAGTATTTGTGAGCTGCTGCAGCTGCTGTCAATTATGATAACGATTTCTTCCACCACAACTGATGGTTCTTCAGATCATTAGAGTTAAAGCTTAAGATGGCAACACATGATGTCACATGTGGGAACCATCTCCTCAGGGCGGTTATTTTTTTAAAAATTTAAAATTATCAGCCCCATCTTCTACTGTGCATATCTCCTTGAGTTCTATTTGACAGGGTTTTGGCCCAAAAAAGGGAACTGATACCTATCTATATTAGAACCAAAAGGAATATAAATTTACCTTAAGAAAACCCAAAGTCCTTTTATTTAGGACAAAGCAGAAAACATTTTTTTTAATCAAATCCTTTAAGAATCTTAAAAGCAGTTTAGTTTACTCATTTGTTTGATAGTGATTCAACTAAAATGTTAGCATTTAGAAATTTGAAGTATCATATATATTATAATATTGGAAAGACCTAAAATTTAGGAAAAAATGTAAGTCCTTTTTATTTATATACAGAAAATGTCAAGTTTAGGGACCAACAGAAGACATAATGGTTACATCACTGGACTCCCACATAGTTGACTGCAGTTCAAATCCTGAACCTGGCAGCTTAAAACTCTCACTGGGCTTGTGTGCGCGCATGCCCAAAAATCCCAAGAGGAGAATGGAGGAGAAGGGATTGTGGTACGGCCATCCCCCATAGGGAGTGATTTCTTGCTTTCTATCTCTCTGTATCTGTCTCTCTGGTGAGCCCACATGCCCTATAGCAAAATTTCTCTCTCAAAAAAAAAGTTTCTTTAAAAAAATTTAATGAAAAAGTTGGATAAAATTATGTTCAAAAGACAAAGTATTTCACTAGGTGGCACTAAATACCTAAAAATAGAGTACATCATAAATAAAATTTTCTGTTTTTTAAATGTATCCCTACATGAATATTACAGATATCAAAAACACTTTCCACCTCTATTGGCTTATATGTGAGAATCATCTTAACCAAAATTTAAAACATGACTGTGTAGCTTATTAATCCTTACTATTCTAAAAACCACACTACATTGAGCATTTTCCGGATGTTAAAAGAAAACAAAAATACTATCTTGAAATAAGTTGCCTTTTATTTTCTTTACTAATCTGTATCTTCTTGCCCTTTATCAATGTAATGTCAGCCTTTGAGGGGAGAGAACAATTTTATAAAACATTTTTAAGATGCCCTTTAAAAAGAAAAAAAAAAAGGACTTTAGTGGTAATTAGGACAAACCAGAAATTATTATTAGATAAATATTACCTCTGCCTCTTAAGGCATTACACTTCATAATAAAGGAGCAACAGAACTCCAAGGGCCTATTCACACTGAGGAAAAACCAGACTAACAGCATCCCGAGCAGAAACAAACCTTACGCCACTCTATTAAGTCACCTCTCAGCTTTGTTTCTCAAAGGTAAAATAAAACTTTTACACTTCTTTTTGTCTATAAAAACTAGCATTGTAGCTTCCACATTTCAACTAAAAGCTAGCTGTATTTCTGCATATTTCTTTATTTCTTTTAAAAGATAAATAAACATTACCAAATATACTAAATCTTGATTATAAACTGCCCATAATACCTCTCTGAATTGAGGTTGCTTTCTTTCTGTATGTTATGGTCCGTTTGACTAATTCTTAACTTCAAAGTTTCTAGTTTCTATGTAGATAACAACCTATACAGACTGTGCTTATGTGTAAGTTACTTGATTCTGGATTTTCACTAGAGTAGTCTAGAAGAATGTTTAAAATATTCAAATCAGCTGTCATGACAACCTCAGGCTGTCAATGATTCAGTAACACATATTCATTTATTCAATCAATTTATCTATTCATTCAAAAAGTGCCTACTATGGGACAGGTACTATTCCAAGTGCTAGTTACACCTTAGTCTTCAAGACAAAGCCTTTAGCCACCACAGTGGAAGCTCCATGCTCTGCCATGCTGAGCCTCATGGGAATATCCCAGGTTCACACCCCAAGGTCCTCCTATACACACTGGGCATTGTGCGCCAATGTAACTGTGATCCAGGTTGGCTGAGGCTGGGTGTGAATCATAGCATGAAGACCATTTGGGGGGTACTTGTCTCTCTCTTCTCTGTCTCTCTCCCTCTTTGTCTCTCTGTATTTATCTGTTTTTCTCTCTCTCTCTCTCATGGAACAAATACATACTTCAAAACAAAACAGAACAAAAAAACAAAATCTTTGACCTACCAGAATTTATACTCCACAGTGGAGTGTGAAACAAACAAGAGATATGATAAACTGAAAAGTAAAGGGATGGGATAGGAGGGTCCATATTTGATAAATAAAGGGTACTCAGGGAAGATTTTCATGGTAAGATGGCTGGGTGGATAAAGTGAGAAAGTGAGGAAACAGCTAGATGGGTGTCCAAGGAACTATGGAGGAAGAGACACTGATGTGTCCACAGAACCTAAGGAGAAGTGTGTATGGAGTAAAGACAGCAAGGACACCCAAATAGCTGGACTAGAGTGGAGGAGGAGGAAATGACAAAATGAAATGGTCTGAGACACAGGCAGGGGGTGTGAAAGAACATTCTTGGCTATAGTACAGACTTAGAAGTTTAGTAAGGATGTTGTAATATGTAAGCATAGCATTCATCAATAAATTATTATAAATCATAAAGTAAGATAATACATACTCTGTTCGTATTTCTGGATCACTATGACAGGAATGACACATGGCACTAAATCGAGATACAAAAAAGTCATAACGTCTGTGATAGGATGGTGTGTCTTCTTCAATATTTGCAAATTTGACAAACTGAAAAACAATATAAACAATATATATCACCTTTTTGAAAGTGTAGAACAAACACACGTATTTTTACTCAGTATTTGTTAACGTGAACAAGCAACATCCAAACAAGAAGCAAATGACATATATGAAATGAATATCATATGTATACAAAAGAAATTTTTAAATAATGAACTTTTAAAGGAATTAGGCACATAGCATTCTAATGATTAAATATAACTGTGTAATGCAATTTCTTTTGAGTGAGTAAACCTACTAAGCTCTCCTACATTTCCTGGATACTGACAATATTTCAGTGGTGAACTTAGACCACAACCTCTAGGGATTATGACTTCTTTTTAAGTTTGTTGTTTGTTAATTGGGAGAAAGACAGACAGACAGTACGCTGACAAGGTCTTACCAGCCTGCAATCCTCTGCCCAGCCTCTGAGCCAGCCAGGATCACAGGCACACCAGCATGTTCAGATCAACCTGCGATCCAAACCTGGGCACCCCAAGTGGCTCCAGTACCACACAGTGGCACCCTACTGCCTATGCCACTATGACGGGGCCAGGAATGTTATTTCTTAATTGTGGGTAGAAACTCTTCCTTGACAGCTGTCATATAATACATAAATGAGTAAGATTTATACAAAACAGATGGGACAAGAAATGAGGACACAAGCAGAAGGAAACATGAAAAAATCAGTAGAAAGAGAAAATACCGAGATGGGAAAATTTATTCTACTTCCATTTTAATAACCAAAAACCAAAACAAAATAAAAAAGATATCCCTGTGTTTAAAAATGTTTAAAACTCTACATGTGTCACAGACCTGACCACTAAAATGACCTAATATGTACTCTGTTTTCTTACTAGCTTTTTCATCTATGTGGCGATTTATTACTTCCGTATAATAAACAGCTTACAGCAGACAAATGCTAGTTTCTTTGGATACACACACATACATTTATAAATACCTGCCAGGCTATAACCTGATAGCTTGAAGAGGCTATATCCAAAACTATTATTCAATCAGAGTAAGAAAATAATGAGAATTACTCATCTCTATTAGAAATTAAGCTGAAATAGGATAAATTTGAAAAACATAAAAGTATAGATCTATAATGGTTTAACTGAATTCCATTAGAGCTAAACCTTCTGTTTTAAATTGTAATTTCCCCCCTTTTTTGGCCAGAGGGCTCATGTGCTCACCAGAGAGAGAAAGCAACCCCCAGTGGGTCAGTTATGTGACAATCCTTCCTCTGTTTTCCATCCCTTCAGGATTTTTTGGGGCCCTCACACTCATGCACATGGGTACGTGAATACACATACACACACACACACACACACACACACACACACACACACACACATACACACACAGTGTTTTTCAAGTCACTGGAGTCAGAATTCAAACTGTGATCAGCCATGTGGGAATGTTTAACTGTGGCATTATGGGGCTGGCCCCACATTATAATTTTGTATGATTTACACAGAAAAATGTTCATATACAATATGATCCTCATTTCCTACTATAAAAAAGAAATGGAAGTATTAAAGGCTTACTTCTGAATTCTGGAATTACATGTGACTCTGACTTCTGTTTACCGTTATATTTTTTAGCATTTTCCAAATCTGCTACAATAAACTCCTATTAGAAAATAATCTGAAGTTTTAAAATTAGAAAACAATCAAAAATTTTAAAATTTGGGCCATTAAAATGTTTGATATTCTATAGAAGTTTTAGAAGACTGAAAAACATTATTCTCTTTTCATTTTTTTTTTAAGAAAGGTTTCTCTTTTTTTGCTGTTACAGGGCAAGTATGCTTGCTGGAGAGACAGAGAGAGACAGAGAGACCAAAAGCAAGAAATCACCCCCCCAGGGGGATGGCCACACCACAATTTCTTCTCCTCTAGTCTCCTCTTGGGCTTTTGGGCATGGGCCCAGCCTGAGTTTTAAGCTGCTATGTCTAGGACTAGGACTGCACTCAACTACATGGAAGTCTGGAAATTTAACTATTATGCCATTTGCTAGTCCCAACGAGAAACCATCCCCTACAGGGGATGGTCATGCTGCAATCCTTTGTCCTCCATTCTCCTCTCAGGACTTTGAGCAAGCATGCACATGCAACTCAGAGTGAGTTTAAGCTGCCAGGTCCAAGACTCAAACCACAGTAGACTGTAGGAGTCTAGCAATATAACCATTATGCAACCTGGTGATTCCTTTCTTCATTTGTTTAAAGTCACAAAAGAAGAGTATAATCTGAATGCAGTCCAGCCACAGTAGCACAGGTAGTAAGGGAGTCACTGTTGCAATGCTGGAAGCCATATGGGAAGGCTCTAGGTTCACATCCCAGGTCTACCTGAACACACTAGGTAAACGGATGTGCTCACTTACGATCCTGGCTGTCAGCAAGGATTAGAGTAAAAGGATGAATAATGTGGCTTGAGAAAAGTGAAATGCATCAACCAAACAGAAACAGAAGAAAAGTAACCTACACTTTTCTCTAAGTGTCAATCTACAATGATTCTATATTGCAAAGAACATATACTCAGATTAAGACCTAGGATTGGGTGCTGACCATGTGGTTCAAATCCTGGAGATGAGAAACATGCCAGATGTGTGCGTATGTGTGCCTAAAATCCCAACAGGATGGAGAAATGGAGGCGAAGGAATCACGGGTGCTTTGTCCTTCACTATTTCTGTCTCTCAATGGTCCTTACATCTGTTGATTCACCCCAGCCAAGCGCATCTAGCATCTGGGCTCTTGATCCCTCCAGTCTGGGGGAAGCGATTGCTTCCTGCTATTTCTCATCTATGGGTTAACTCAAAGTCACCTGCTAGTCTTCTCACCTCTTTTATCAGTTATCTGTATGAATAATTCTTTACATCAGTCATGTAAGATACAATAATGAAAGTGAAAGTTAGTACAAGCATAGTTTTACTTACAGAATTTGTTCCAAGAACCTGAAGTTTTGGTTCCCCTGATTCCAGAAGCTTGGCCACCATATGAAGAAAGCTTTCTACAAATGGCTTGATGCTTTGAGAATGGCAAGCCATAAGAAGTTGGTCCAATGCTTCCATAGCAATTAAAACATACCTGAGCATAAAAAGAAAAGAAGTCAAAGCACTGTTAGCTCTCTTAATTCTCCTAAGCACTTTTTGTTGGTAAATTGAACTAAGATTATTTAAATGCATAAAATAAAGAAAGGTAAATTTAATAGCTTCTAAGTAAAATATTAATTCTCAAAGACTACTAATGGTATGGTGATTAAGGTGACTGGATCCCACATGGTCAACTGTGTGGTTTGAGTTCCAGACCCAGAAGCTTAAGAAACATGCAGTTGGGTGTGTGTATGCGTGCACGTGCACACCCAAAATCCATAAAGGAGAGAGAAATGGAGAAGGGATGGAGGCATGACCATTCCCCAAAGTAGGGGGTGCTTTCTCAATTTCTCCATCTCTGTCTCTCCCTGGTGAGTATATGCACTCTCTGGCAAAAATTCAAAACTTAAAAAAAAAAAAAAAAAAGAGTACACAAAAACTACTCCATTTTCTCCTTCTTAAAATAACTGCATTTCTTTAACATTACTTCTGCGTGTATTTTCCATGTGAACATGGACATTTCCTATTTCTAGACTTTTAACCATATTTATTTATCTCTGACCCATAACAGTTATTAAAACAATGTTTAAATCTCCAACCAAATTTTCTTTTATAAATATTAGTAGATAAAACATTATCACTAATAGAATCTAAGAAAATATCTCACAAATTTTCTTACAATTCAACTTGTACTAAATATTAAAGTTCAGTCTTTAGATAGCTTTCTTCCAACAATCAACAGTAAAATGATTTGGGCCATGACTCACTGAAATGTTCGACATGGTAGCAATGTGGCAGTACAGAAGAGAGATACCACACTCAGAGAATACAATGCTTACAACACTCTAAGAAACTATCCGGAAAAGCACTTGAACTCACACCTGTAAGGCAGTACTGTGCAAGCACACAGAACAAGGAGGGCAGACCCGGGTTTATGCAGCTGGCACAGCTCCAGATCACGGTGCTTCCATCTTTGGAACCTCGATCTAAGCCTAGCATGGTTCTCCCATTACATCTCTTTCTTTTTTTTTTTTTTTTCAATTTATTTATTTGCATTCATTCACTGTACACGTTTCTAAGAGAGATTTTACTATAAGGAGAATGCACTCGCTGGAGAGGCAGAGACAGATAGCAAGAAATCACCCCCCAGCAGCCACGCTGCAATCCCTTCTCCTCCATTCTCTTCTCGGGATCTTGGGCACCCATGCGCATGAGCCTAGCATGAGTTTTAAGCCACCGGGTCCAGGACTCAAACTGCGGTCAATCATGTGGAAGTCCAGCGATGTACTCATTATATGCCATCTGCTGGTCCCTCTCATTACATCTCTTAGAGGGAAGGCTGAAGCTGTGTCAAACATCAGCTGATTAACAAGATCCCTCGAGTTGTTTTCAACCTGGGATTGATTTTTTTTTTTTTAATTCATTTGCAACAGTCTAAGGGAGTCTGTTTCTACTACTTCCCATTCGAGAAGCCTCAAAAATTAATAAATGCTTAAGCCAAAGGCAATTCTGTTTATTAACCTATGTCTATTAATAAAACTGACCCCAAGGAAAGTAAAACAAGCTGTGGCATCTATCTATGTATCACTCATTTCTTCATGTAATGTTACAATATTTTATTCCCCCTGACAAGATGTCAGAATAACTGATCAGATGATTTAGCCTAGCAAGAATTTTCCAAAGATACCTTACTAGCAGCAACTGGTATTCTTACCCAGAACGATGTCTAACAACATCCCTGCTCAACCTTTCTGCTAGGTAAGAACCAATTCGATCCAGTTTCTCTGGAGCAGATACTGCATAAAACGTCAGCTTCTCCATATCAGCTTTAACAAGACCATCCTAAAAGTAACAAGATAAACAAGTTAGCTAGATTTACTTGCTTGTTGTACATTTTTAAGTGTTGCCTGCTTCACACGTTCACCTTTTAGACAGGGAATTAATCTGCATTTATGCTGAACCATTCTGGATATAATTCCTTAGTACAAAACTCCCTATTTTGGATACACAAAACTTCCAAAAATGTAATATCTCATTTAGGCAAAGCATTTAAATGTACCTTTGCAAATACAGAAAATTATACTCTTAATATCTTCTTTTATAGAGAAATAGCTCAATTATCTGCAATACATAGGAAATTGAATGTATTTTAGTAAAAATATTTTAAACAAAATTTGTTTCAATTTAAAATTTTAAAATGTGATATCATTAAGTCTATTTATTCCCTTACATATACAACAGTAATCCTTTTCTTAATGATTTAGAATTTGCCCATATCATTATAATTTTTATTATAATTAATGAATGTGAAAACATTCTGAACTCTATGAAACTATGTCTAGTCAACATATTCAAAAAGTAACAGGCTCCCAAATCATCATTTGTCTCTGCCCTCTCAAACAGGCCGTGCCACAGCTCCAACGATTCTCCCCACCCTCATAAACCTCAGGTCAGTCACCACTCTGAATTTCTTGGCCGTGACTGCCCATGCAACTAAATGTGCTTAGGAATGTTGGAAAAGATAGGAAAGAAGGTGGAAAAACTATGTGAGATAATCAGATTACAACTAAATAGTATGTATGTTTATGTTTTCAACTTCCAATAGGCCCCTCAACATTTTCTGGCTATTCTGCCATTTCCTTAGAGGAGTCATATTCCAGTCCTATTCTATTTTCCTTGAACTTGCTACTTTGAGGTCTCTGTTGCCTTTCTAACAGCAAATGAGGTCACCCATTTTTCACAGGTGGAAGCCATCAGATTATAATTTACTGGCAAAACACACCTGCTTTTTCAGTGCCCTAGGTCAGTTTATCTCCACCAGGTATGATTTAGGGCAACGTCAGAAGACATTTGGGGGGGCCATAGATTGGGGTATGTGGGTGCTGGAATCCAGTAGGTAGTGCCAAGGATGCTGCTGAGCATCTCGCAAGTCAGCAAATTTCCTACACCAAAATGTCTAACTACGTCAGGGCTGGCCCCACAGCCGAACAGTTATGGGACACCAGATTCCACGTGGTTGACCACAGTCTGAGTTCTGGACACAGTGGCTTGAAAAGACATGCCAGGGGACCAGTAGTTAGCGTAATGGCTATGTCGCTGAACTCCCACATAGTCGACCATGGTTCGAGTCCCGGACCCAGTGGCTTAAAACTCACGCCGGGTGTGTGTGCGTGCATGCCCAGGATCCCAAGAGGAGAATGGAGGAGAAAGGATTGCGGTGTGGCCATCCCCCCAGGGGTGATTTCTCACTTTCTTTCTGTCTCTGGCGAGCACACACACCCTATAACAAAAACCTCTTAAAAAAAAAAAAAAAAAAAAACATGCCAGGCACTGTGCATACCCAAATCCCGACAGGATGGAGAAACGGAACAGCAGAGACTGCAGCATGACTACACCTCATGGTTGGGTGTTTTCTATTTCTCTCTCTCTCTGGCAAGAGTATGTGCCCTCCGGCAATTAAAGAAAAAGAAGAAAGTAAGTTGAGAAACCCTGCCCTAGGACTAGAGCAAAAGCCCTGTTTTTCCAATATAGAAAGAATGAGTTTCCTGTGCACTGTCTACGTTACACAGTCCAAGATTTGGCTCCATCAGTTAGACTCTCTCACTCTGATTCTTTCACTTCTCCCTCTGTATCAGTTCCTTCACGTCATCATTTAAATATGATTTTCTTGTCTGTTTTTTAATAACTTTTAATCATTTTGTAGAGGAGTAATATACAAATAATAAACTGCATTCACTTACAGTATGTGACTTGAGATATAACAGCTGTATACAACTGTGACACAACCACTACAAACAAGACACAGAATATTTTCATCATCTGTGAAAGATTCCTCATGCCCTTTCAGCCCTCCTTCCTCTCCAGGTGCCCCATGCTCTGCTTTTTATCACTGTGACTCTGCATGCACCTGACATAAAAGGAAGCATATCATTCTCTTTCGTGCATGCCTTCTTCCACTCAGCTCCTCTCTTTGCTTGGGAATCCTTCTCTAGCTTCACTGGGATAACTCCTACTCATCCTTCAGGTCTCAGCTTCCTCCAAAGAACCTTTAATGAACCTTCCCAGTAACCATCCCACAGCTGGGTAAGATATCCCTACTATGTTCTATTGGCTCACAGATATAATCTCTTCTATTATACTCTTACCATATTCTCTCTGCATGCATTAGACAAACACTAATAGAGCACCAACCATCTGCAGGCATGTGACAGACACTAGAGAAGCAATAGTGAGCAAAGCATTGTATTAACTCATCTAGTCTTCATGAGAACCTTATGGAATAGGTACTATTATTCCTGAAACTGAGGCACCCATGCAAGACCACATGGCTGGTAACTATAAGGAATCACTGGTTTCTTTGTCTCCCTCACTAGATTGATCTTCAAAGGCAGGTACTATAACATACACACCTCTGCATACAGGAAGCTACTGTCTAACCCATTCTAGACACACCTCAAGATTTGATTTAGTGAAATCTGGCAAACTGGGCCAGCCAGTGTCATGGTAGTTAAGGCAGATGGATCCCACATGGCCCTGTGTGCAGTTCAAGTCCCAGATGTGGCAGGCTGAAAAAAACACAAGGGCCCGTGTGTGTGCATGACCAAAATCCCAAAAGGAGGGACAAATGGAGGAGAAGGGATCACAGTGTGACTATGACCTATGGGGGAATGGTTCTTACTTTCCCTCTCTCTCTCCCAGGGAATGCTTAAGCCCTAGGGCAAAAAAAAAAGCAAAATAGGTAATGGTTGCCATATGTACACATGTTCGTGTTAATCTTTTAATTTTTTAAATCTCATTTTACAGATTGCCTTTTAAAATAAATCCTATCAGGGTCAGCAGGTGTCATGGTGGTTAAGGGTGCTGGATTTCCACATGGCGACTCGTGGTTCTAGTACTAGACATGGTGGCTTGCTTTCTCCCTTTTCCCTTTCTCTCTCCCCGCCCCCACCCCATCTTTCTCTGGTCAAAATATTAAGTATAATAACAAAATTAAATAAATAATTCTTTAAAAATATATCAATCTATAAATCCTTGGCAAAAAATACTCTTTCTGTAATCATTCTCTAATTTACCTGTCATCATTCCCACAAGCAAGTACTAAAGATCTCTCACTACCTACAAATAGGTAAGGTAGAACCTTGCCTGCCATCCAGATCCTTCAGAGTATGGCCTTCATCTTACCTTTTCGAATACTGAAATTTTCTCAGAAGTCAAAGCCAACACTAGCACCACCCATGAGGCTTTATGAACCTCCAGCTGAAGTCTAATGAATCCCTTCCTCTTGACCGTATATGTGTCTCCTCCTTTCCTATGCTTCTTCTCTTTTTCTACACTTAAAAAGACTGATTTTCTCAGTCTCTCCAGATGGTATACATCCTTCAAAACTCAGCCAATCTCATTGCTTCTGAGAATTCTCCCCAGGGGTTGCCAATCCACAGTGCTATCTCCCTGTTTTAGAAAGAAAACCTTTACCACCTGATTTACTTAGCCTTTTACTGACGCATGTGGTTTAAGATTCTGTATGCTGCTGCCTCACTATGTTAGTCAACAGACGGAAAGCTGTCAAAGGTAGGCGCCATCTCTTAGGGCTTTTAACGTGCCACAAAATATCTGGGATAGCTGCCAGTCCGTAATATTGAACTGGTTAACCTCCTCTATATAGCTGAATGTTTAAACAGATTTGATTAAAAATAAGATATATCTGGGAGCAGCAGTTAGCATAATGACTATGTCGCTGGACTCCGTAGTCGACCACGGTTTGAGTCCCAGAACAGGTGGCTTAAAACTCATGCTAGGGGTGTGTGTGTGGGTGCCCAAGATCTCGAGAGGAGAATGGAGGAGAAGGGATTCCGGCATGGCCATCCTTCCCCAGGGGCGGAGGGGTGATTTCTCGCTTTCTGTCTCTCTCTGTCTTTCTGGCGAGCGCACGTGCCCTATAGCAAAAACCTCTCAAAAAAAAAAAAAAAAAAGATGTATCAACACCCATGTTGATATAATGTTAAAATAACCAAAAGGGCCCTATAGTTGGCTACATTTTAAAATAAAGCAGATTCTGGAAAATAAATTCATGTTTTGTTCATATCCATTTAGCTCAAAACTAAGAGTCTTAGAAAATTTAAGGCAGTATCAACCCAAATCACTCAAACCCCTTTGCTTTGAGATCAGTAATCTTTCCAAATAAAATAATGTTTGTAAAAATTAAAAAGGAAATGAACTTTTCCTGGAACAGTCTTCCTTTACTTCTGAATACTCTTCTTAAAACTATGTCACCAACTCCTAATTATTCTTTAGATCTCGGCTTGGATTTCATTTCCTATGGTCTTTCTTCCCCTAAATCTAAATCAGCTATCACTCCCGTAACACCCTATACTTCATTTCTCTATTACATTTTTCACACAATTTTCTGTCAACTTACTAATATATCGGTTTGGTGGGGGGTCAGCAGGTGGCATAGTGGTTAAGGTGCTGGACTCACACATGGTCGACCACGGTTTAATTCCTGGACCTGGTGGCTTGAAACTCACACTGGACATGTTTGCGTGCCTGCGTGTATGCCCAAAATCTCAAAAGGAAAAGGGAGGAAAAGAGGTTGAGGTGCAGCCCTTCCCCCTAGGGGGGTGGTTTCTCACTTTCTCTCTCTCTCTGTCTCTAGTGAACACAAGTGCCCTATAGAAAAATCTCTCCCCTCCAAAAGGAAAAAATATATATTTATATCTATTATTTTATATATATAACATATAACTATATTATCTACAAATATATATGTTATTATATTTTAAATATATTATATATAAAATATATAACTATGGTATATGTAATAATACACTATAGCTTGGTGAGACAAGGACCACATCTGTGTTCAGTTATACGCTGGGCACTTTGCATAATTAATTTGGCACCAGTTCATAAATTTTTCACGTGCGTTACTTAAAATAAGTATTATACCAATTACAAAAGTACACTCTCTGCCCATCATTCCAGATTTGTATCTAATCTATGAAAAGGATCTGAGAACTGGACAAGCACAGGTCAGTTAAAAGTAAAAGAAAGAGAAGTACAAAAATGGCAGCACACGTGATGAAATGGAAGGTAAAAGTGAAGAAATGAAATTAGGGAAACCTTAGGCAGGGTCAGCAGGGCAGAATGGGTCAGCAAGGACAAGGACCGGTAGAAATGGAGGTCAAATTACTTTGGGGTCTTCAGGGAAGATGTTGTCCACCAGGCGTTTGTAGCGAGGACGCAGAGCGGAACAGCAGCAACATACTCCTGTTTAAAAAAATAAAAACAGAAAGCACAGAAATTATTAATATTGTCAACTGAACTAGATCAAGTTCCTGAGTATTAATGGATCATTTAAAATAAAAAGTTCAAACTGCTACAAATAAAGGAATGCAAATTTACGAAGTGATTGATAAATCAAAAAGTTAAATTTCTCCCCACCCCCAAAATAGGCAGCTTCCAAGAATCTGTCTCACACACACACACACACACTCTACCAAGTCATGCTATCAAGCAAATATTTACTCTGCACTGTATCCCCCTTTATCCACTTTCTGAACTCATTTCCCTCCTGGCCGCTCTACCCCATTCACCTGTCGGAACACACCACTCCAGACACAATGGCCCCTGCTAGTCCTAACAAGCTAGGCACCTGCTTTTTGGACCTTTGCCCTCACTGTTCCTTCTGCCCAGAACATGTCCAGATTGCTACTAAACTAACCCTGTCACTCTACTACTTCCACATAAATCCCTGAACACCCTTATTCTGGTCTTTCTTTTCCCCTTACCTTTAATCATCTAACACATTAAATAATTTTGCTACTGTGTTATTGGCCATCCTCTGTGTTTCCTCACCAGGACATAAGCTCCAGAGATGGGAGGATCACTATTTCATTCACTCCTGATGTCAAGCAACTGTAATGACACCTCGCACAGAGTAGGCATCCAAATATTTGTTGAATAAGCACACACACGTAATGAATGACTGAATTTGTATTATTTGTGTTTGAACAATGCCTTCCTTGATGTTCTTTCTCTCCCACTTTTACTAACCCAGTTCAGACTTAACGTCTTACCCATATTTTTTGTTTTGTTTGGTTTTGCATTGCTTTTTACCTGGCTTCTCAATCTCCTACTGTGGCCCCTATGTAGAGAGGGTATGCACCACCCATCTCTGGTAGCATTATTAAACTGATGCTTCTACCAGCTGATACTCAAATGTGTACAAATGTCCAAACATCTTTTAACATTCTTCCTACTATATAACCCTTCTATGTTACTAACCACACTTTATACTTCATAAAATCAATACAATTAAAACAAGTGAGTAAAATGAAGTATAAATTTCCTCCATTTGTTTTGAACACAGAAACCAACTTAGTCATGACACTTCATCCAAGAAACCCTATGTTTTTGCTAATAATTACTTTTCAGAAATAAATTCATGTTTTGTTTTTTAAAAAAATCAATATATTCCAAAATAGCTTAATTTTAAATGAAGATACTCTGTGAAAACATATCAAAGAAAATTTTAAATAATCGTTAATTTAAAAAAAATCTGCAAATGCAAACAAAGATTTGAAGATGTATAACTAATATGACAAAGAACTTAAGTGTCTAAAGGACTCGAAAAAACATATAAAATATCTACTTAATAAAAATAATAGTTATAAGATTTAAGTAATAATACCAGCACTTAATAGGTAATAACATTGTTTTAAGAATCATATGCTTCAAAGACAAATGTTTATGAGTACTCTGGAATGAAATTTAGCAATACACGTGAGGGTAATAAAATACTCCTATCCTTTGGCCCCAAAATTCCACATTTTGAAATTTTAGCTAAAGGAAGTATTAATACAAAGAGGCCAAAGTGCTATATGCTTCTCTGCAGAATTCCCCTGTATTTAAAAACAAAAGCAAAACAGCAAAAGGGCCTACATACCACTGAATATGTCCTCTGCTGGGTCTATGACATGTCAGTAGAATGAATTCTTAAAAGCTGCATGACACATGCACATTAATCTACTCGACCTCTAATTATTTGACCCTACAAAGTAGGAAGTTTTGTATTTTTCAGATGAAGAAACTGAAGTTCCAAAATATTAAGAAACTTGTTTACAGTCATAAGAATTGGAATTCCCTCCAGGATAACTACCTTTTAGAAAAATCTCTATTACGTATGACCTGTACATAAGAAAGTCAAAATAAGAATCAGTAAGTAAACACAATTAAGTCTTAAAATGACAGTCCATTCCTACCATAACTAGCAAATCTACCAGGTGAATCATAGAAGGAACTACAACACAAGAGAAACAACCTGAAAGGAAAATCCAGCAATTTCAAAAACATGCTTAAAAGCTGCTCTATGTATGTACAGCTGTTGCTATCTTGGACAGAGCAATGGGTTTTGGTTTAGAAGACCTGGGTTCACTCCAATTCTTTCACCTCAGTGGCTACATGCCTTGGATCGCTCACATCACTACCTAGAAGGAATTACATAAGTGGAAGAGATCCGTTTTATTGTCTTGAAAACCAGTAACTTAATAGGAACTTTGGTCTTGAGTCACTGTAAAACTATTCTGGTGATTTATGAAACTGGAATGCATGTGTAAGCGTTCAGTTGCACGTATTTAGAAACCAAAACATGGTATGAGAGATTATATGAACCAGATGAAAACTTTCTAAGCAGACCTCTGCTACTATTTATCATGTGTTAAGGCAAGAGATGACTTCTCCACATCTCTCTTTCCTAATGAAGAACGCATCATTCATTCACATAGTCAATTTCAAACGCCAACAGCATGCCCAGCACAGGATAAAACAGAGTCCAGATCTTTAGTAAGCTGGGGTCATTAAAGTAGTGATTAAAATAAGACAGAGCGACGATTTGGAAAGTAGCTTAGATGATAACATACAGTGTATAACTTACTTAACGTTTTCAGCAACCTACTGAGGTTTTGTTATCATTAACACTTTACAGAACTGGGATTGCAGCAGAGCACGTAACTTCTCAACAGTAATGCCTAGGTGAAAACCCAGTGTTTAAAACTACAACCCTGGGCTCTTTCCACACCACAGGTACTAGAGGTCAAATCGATCAGCATCCACATTTTATCTGTACCTCCTATGTGCCTAACACTACACTTGATAACACAGATACAAGAAAGTATAAAAGTACAGTAGACATTATCCTTGCCTTCTAAAGAATGTTACCAAAATTAGTGAATGTTACAAAAATTAGCAGGTCGGATAGAGGTTAAGGCAGCTGGATCCTAATGGCCAATTGTGTAGTTTGAGTCCCAGACCTGATGGCTTGAAAAATAACTCTGGACACATGTGAATGTGTGTTCAAAAATATCTAGAGGCTGGGACTAGCAGTTAGTGTAATGGCTATGTCGCTGGATTCCCATGTAGTTGACTGCAGTTTGAGTCCCGGACCCGGTGGCTTAAAACTCACACCGGGCGCATGCGTGCCCAGGATCCCGAGAGGAGAAGGGAGGAGAAGGGACTGCGGCGTGGTCATCCCCCCAGGGGGTGATTTCTCATTTCTGTCTCTCTGTCTGTCTGGCAAGTGCACGCGCCCGATAGCAAAAACCTCTCAAAAAAAAAAAATCTCTAGAGGAGAATGATGGAGAAGGGACTGGTCATTGCTCCTAGGGGGTGATTTCTCACTTGCCCTGTCTGTCTCTCACGCACCCTAGAGCAAAACAAACAAACAAACAAAAAACAAACAAAAACAGAGTAATTTTTAGTATATATATACATTATTATATTAATTTTTAATATATACTACACTTAGGTACTATATGCTGATGATATAAAAATGTTAAGGATGTATTCTAATAGAAGAAAAAATCTAAAGAAATGATTTTTTAGATTAACTAACACCAGAATACTTTAATCCTTTTTAAGTACCCAAAAGCAAAACACAGGTTTGATTACTGGGCAGGAAATAAGTAAAGGCCAAACTAGCATAAAACCAGCAGAAGTCCTAGTTTTTTGTCTGCTACACCTAACATAAAAAATACTTCAGACAAATCTCAATATGAACACAGAAGTAAATTAAAAACAAGTAGGTACAGATCTGTTATCACACAGGAAGTGAGCTAGGTACTGCAATGAAGAAGCAGCTTACAGCCTGAGAGTAGATTAAGGCAAATGCATGGCTCACACGCATGCAAGGCCAAGGACAGTCGATTCAAACTGTTATCATGGCACAGACTGGCAACAGAGCTGAAAAACAAGCTCAAATGGTTCAAGTTTCTCATCAGAATGATAAATCTGTTATTTGGAATAAGAGTCATAATAAGCTATTAAGTTCCACTTACAGTGACACTTTCTGCTATTATACATTATACATTGCTTTTAGTTTAAAAAAACTGAAAAATCAATGTGAATGTGGAATGCAAAGAATATCCAGCTCCCACTTGCAGGAAGCTGAAGTCTACTGGGAGACAGGTTAAAGAGCACAGGCTTTGAACTCAGACAGACCTGGGTGCACTCAAGGTCCCCCCACTGTCCCTCTGGTAGGTAGATTACTTTGCCTTACTACACCTATATTTCCTTACCAGCAAAACAGATGTCATAATGCCTCCATCATAATTACTGCAAAAACTAACAGAACTGTATATAAAATTCTTATCATGTGGTCAGTAAATGGTATCTATTATTAGTAATGCAGTAAGAGGAGTAGTATAATAAACAGAAGGTGATCGAGGGCCCCTTAAGACAGTATTCCCAACAGTGTGAAGACTTCTGTTGCAAACTAAACATATTTTTAAATTATAAATTACAATAAATTTTATACATGGTTCCCAAGTTTTCAATAGTAGTATCAATACCAGTGGAGTAACTGCCACTTTCTGAACATTATGTGTATGGCACTAGACCCAGGACCTCACACTATTCACTTACGCCTAAGCAGCTCTCAAAGGTAGTTATTAATGTTATTGTTTCCATTTGATAAATATAAAACAGGCTTTGTGACACCGACTGGTCCCACATCACACAGCTAGTAAGGATGGAGGAGCTGTGATTCCAACCTGCATCTTATCAATTCAAAGGGTAATTCCCGCCCCAAGTTTAAGTACCAGACTATTGCCAAATCACTGTAAACATAGCTTTCTACAAATCAAGCCAATAAATATAACTGCAAGACTATGTGGCCCAAACAGATAAAGAATTTAACTATAGGGAGAAAAATAATCACAGTGAATTTCTCAGAAAGGTCCAAACAAAACAAAAACACCTTCTTGAACACTTAC